TAAAAAATATTATTAGAAACCTTAGGTGGCCAGAAAACAGCCCCGATCTCATTGTTAGTCCTTTAGACATATTTTTTTTTTACCTGAAAATTTCCAAGTATTGAAAAAAAATACAGGACGAAATGCTTAATAATTTTGAATTTGTTTTTGAAGCAATTAATAGTAAATTAAAACATATTTTCAACTGTATCATCACAATCACTTGCATGTTGATTTATAAAAATTGTAGGTATATTAATGTTATTTCGTCTTTAGGTATTCTCCTTATGTTGTTGTAAAGGTTAGTTATAAAAATCGTTGTTTGTTATTTTCAAAAGGATGAATTTTAATTTTTTTTAATGATTTTTTTTTAATTTTAAACATATATTTTATGCCAGCAAATTTGGATGTCAAATGAAATAAAGGAAAAGTCGTACATTTGTATTTGAAGTTTCTTTCTATCTTTAATTAGTAAACCTATAAGTGGATGTCAAAATACAAAAAAAAAAAAACTGTACCTACATTCCGCGGCGTACTAATAACCCCCCTTGTATATTAAATAAATTTAGCGTCATCATCAAATATTAAAAAAATTATATTACAAGCTGTTTAAAATATTCTTACGAATTTTGTTTATTTGGAAATATATTTTCTGCAGTATTTTAATACCAAAAAATGAAAATAGTAGGTAGCTAATTAACGAAATTGTGATTAAATAACTTAATTGTAACACCACTGCAGAATATCATATGATACATACATAGATATTCGTTGATTCTTTAAAAACATTTTTATCAATACCTACATCATACATTGAAGTAAATACAGTAACGCAAAAAACAGATATTGATAAAAAAGTGTACAAAAGAAATCCGTAAGTACGCCTGGCAACATTACCAAAGTCTTGTTTATATGTTGCTAGGATACGCTTNTTCTGCTGGTGGTGTACTCTACCGGCAATTCGGAAATTTAAAACTGCTGGCCTATTCCAGGAGCGGTCTGTGGCGACAGCTATTTTGTCTGTGATAGGGCATAGCCTTGCCTCGTTATAGAAACAATAGTCTTTATAAATGCTCAGATATTTGGCATTAATAAAAAAAATGAAACATTTGCAGTTATCGAAAAAATATTAAAATATAGCAAGTACTTTTTTAAAGACAAGCTTGGTATAGTTTTAATATTTAATTTTGCCTCGGACTATGTCATTGTTATTTAGAGGATTATATAATGGAGGATGTTTTAGCACAATTTCACTGTTTTAACAATAACTTCGCACCACAAAAGAATCGGAGAGAATAACTGTAAAAGAAGTATAATACATTTTACGAAAATATAAAACAAACTAAACGAGAATATTCAAAATATATTCCAAATATTATTAATCCTAGGCAATTCCTTTTTATCGCATACGGAAGGCTTGGTTTCGTTAATTTTACTGCACACCACTGCCACGAAGTCTATCAAGGATTGCTCCTGGGTCTGTTGGTCGAAAACGCCATCGTACACCACTGTGGGCACAAAGGCGATTGATGGAGTCTTGTCGCCATTGGCAGCTAGCAGTTGGTCGCCTTCGGCCGAAGTGGCGCAGGAGTTTATCTTCTGGACGTCCAAATTGTACCTCCTAGCGCACTGAGAGAAAAATTACGACTGTAAATACAATTATCTTTGATGTAAGTCAAATTAGTTGTTGTAAAGAGTTTAGGGCGTGTATAGGAGGGGCAATGGGGGTAGTTGATTTTATATTACAAAGTTTAGTGATCATATCCAGCACAGAGCAAAACATTGTATACAAGGTGTTAACGAAATAAGTATTCAGTAAGTAAAACATGATGAAATATGATGAAAACCTTAGTAGAGTTTTTGTCAGTGACGGCCCCTAAGGGAGATACAGCCCATTGAATGGGTAACTCAGGAAACAGTTTATATTACATAACTTTAAAACGATTTAATATTAAGTCGCGAAATTTTGAAGTTCCATTACTATTTATGTGCTTAATAATCGGCATAATATACAAATCAAAATTTGCTACATGGGCGTAAGAAAATGCGGGACCGTCGGTCAAATTTTCCAATTTTTTTTGTACGACATTTTTTTCAACTTCCTGAACCGAACTTATGAAAATTTATCATATTTTGCATAAAAAAGTTACTCTTGTTAGATTTTAATACCACGAGCCGTTTTCTAGTAAAATTCATTTCAATTATGCTGAAGAATTCCTGCTGAAAATAAATGTAACAAATTGTGCCATGAGAAAATTACTATTTATGACATTTAACAAAGCTGTCAAGTATATGTCAGTTACTGATTAGATTACCTACTCAATATTTCAATCTAAGAAATTTGAATTTAGATACTGTAATAAACATAGAATAAACTAAATTAGGTATTATATCTGTAGCCTATAATGCAATATTATCTTCAACGGTGAAACTATATTTGCAATAAAAATTTTATGTTTCATTGGTCTTTTTGTTTGGTATGTTTTGATTTTCAGATATAATAATAGTAATAACATTTTATTATTCAAAATTATTTATGTTACTGTTTACTACAAAACTATCTACTTAACTGTGATATTAAACCCCAACTTAATAACAGTTACATAACAACTACAATAGCGATAATAATAGTAATTTTCTTATGGCACAATTTGATGTATTTATTTTGCAGTAGGAATTTTTGAGCAAGTAATGAATTATCGAAATGGATTTTACTAGAAAACGGCTCATGCTATTAAAATCTAATAAAAGTACCTTTTTCATGCAAAATATGATAAATTTTCATATTTTCGGTTCAGGAAGTAGAAAAAAATGCATACAAAAAAAATTGTAAAATTTGCCCCATGATTTCGTGATTTAATATTAAACCATTTTGAAGTTATGAAATAAAAACTTGTTTCCTGAATTATGCCTTCAAGGGACTGTATTTCTCTTAGGGGTCGCCAGTGACAAAAACTTTACTAAAGTTTTCATCATATGTCGACATGTTTTACATACTTGAGTACTTATTTCGTTAATACCTTGTATAACCTTCATAAATGATTAAGCTACGTGACCACCGAGCTTAGGCAACCAATATTGCACCGTATTGTGTATAGATTTTGGCCTAACTTTCAGTAAGCCAAAATCGTGTTTGTATTTTTAACAGATGTTTAATATTAATTTTACGCAAGTGTTGTT